TGGGAGAGGGAGAAGCACGCTTCCCGCTGAGCAGGGAGCCCGATGCAGGGCTTGATCCCAGGACCTTGGGATCATGACCTGAGCCGAAGGCAGACACTTAACGATTGAGCCACCCAGGCGCCCCAATAAAAATCTTAAAAAAAAAGTTACCTCTGATTCCCTGAAGGCCTGGGGGGCCGATAGCACCATGCTCTCCAGGAACGCCTGCTCCCCCGATGTTCCCCTTCTCTCCAGGTGTGCCGGGAATGCCGGGAAGACCCGGCAATCCTTTGAGTCCTGGTAGACCAATGCCCGGCTCTCCCTGGAAATTCCCGAAGCAAGGAAAAGCCAGTTCACCAGCATAGCCCATGAACTCAAGCCCAGGGCGCAGGTGCAGACAGTCAGTAAGGACCAAGCTACCTGCCCATGCACACCTGCCCAATACCCACAGCCTCTACCTGCCCGTGTGCACCTGCCCGATACCCACAGCTTCTACCTGCCCTCCCAATAGAAAGGGAACAGGCCAGGCTAGCCTTTCATTGGCAAAGTGAAACTACTGCCCTTGGCCCTTTCTCCCATTTCATATGATGCCTTCTAGCAATTTCACTTCCCTTCCTTATAATCAGAACAGGAAAATATCTGTCCCCTGGTCAGCTATACTTGCTGAGCAGAATTTCAAGTATCAGCAAAAGGCAGAGGGATGTTTGAGGCAAGGAGAGTCCCGAAGTCACACTAGCCCAGGGGTCCCCAACTGGGGCCATTCCCCCGCCCCCTGGGTGACATTTGGTAATGTCCAGAGATAGTTTTGGTTGCCATGACTGGGGGTGAACGCAGGGTGTTCCTCTGGTATCTGTGGATAGAGGCCACGGAGGGGGCAGCTGAAGCCCCACCATATCCCAGGCAGCCCCTGCCACAAAGAATTACTGGGCCAGCATGTCAGTAAAAGTAGGCTCTCCCGGGAGGCTTGCATGCAGCCTTCTCCTGCCACTCCCAGGAAGGCCCACCCTGGACCCTGAGATGCACTACACACACAGGTAAGCATGTACTCTGAAAACTGGAACAAACGATTCCCTCAAAACATCAACTACCACGTACCAGCACTTTCTTCCTTTCTACTCTGTGCTATTTCTTTAACCAACAAAGCATGCTGATCCAACATATGCCGTGACACTAATAAGCCACATTTTATGGGTCTAATTAATAATAAGGATGAGGAAACAGCAATCCAGAGAGCACTCAGCACCCACCTTTTGGCCGGGCACACCCGGGTTGCCAGGTAAGCCGTTAAATCCCGGGCGACCCGGACTCCCAGGAGGTCCCACGTCTCCAGGTAAGCCATCAACACCTGTTAGGAAGAGTCACAAAACCACCAATGTATTAAAGCTATTCCCCCCTTTCCTCGCCTCCCTCACACTTGCTCAGACGTCCCTGGACTGAGCAACTGAACTGGCCAACAACAAAGAGCCCTTCGAGGTGGTTCTAAGAAGAGCGTGGGGCCTCGCTCGCCGTCGGGGGAATCACCGGTGCCCACTGGGGCAGCTTGGGTGCCCTGGACCACGTGCTGTGCCTGCCGCCCTCCCTGTCTCTCTCCCACCGTCCCCTCTCCCCTTCCTTCCGCTCAGCTTTTCCTCCTGTCCCACCCCCCAAACAAAACAAAGACCACCGTGGCACGTGCAGCCTAGGGTGGCCCTCCCACTCTGCGGCTCCGAGCGTGCTGCCGCTCGGGGTAGCCCTGCCGCCTGTTCGAGAGCCCACCCACATCCACTGGAGCACACCCACATTTTCACAAGACGCCCCGGGAGTCCCAGACGCTCTGGTGTGAGCAGCGCCGCTGCAGACCATGGGTTCTTGAACGCGGCTGCACCACACCAAAGGCGCGTGGGGCATTTAGAGACTGGGCCCCAGCCCTAAAAGGCCCAATGGGCTAACAGCTACCCCGTGGCTCTACTGTGCATGAAGGTCCCCCTGTGGGATGCAGAGGTCCACGACGCGCGGTGATCTGTAAGTATGCAGAGGTCACACGTGCTGTGGGGCTGTGGTACTGAGGGGTCTCGTCAGAGAGTGGACCTAACTGCCCACCAGTGTGCGCATCGCCAAGCCGCTCTGAGTGGGCAGCCAGCCTCCAACAAGGAGACCCTACCAGCTAACTTTTCTACCTCTCAGGATGGCGCTATGGTGCTCACAGTGGAGAGGGTGGGGCTCGGGAACAGGCAGAAGGCCTCAGCACTGTCCCTGTGAACTGGGAGGGTCACCGAGGGCCTTCTGCCCTGTAAGCCGGAGAGACGTGGCCACGTGCATGTGTGGGTGCAATGCAGCACCTGGAGGGGTGTGCAGGCCCGTAACTCTGCCAGCAGGTGTGACACAGGCTGAGCCTCTGGACGGGAAGCTAGGAGCCTCGAGAGCTCTTTCCACTAGGTTTGCACACACGGCCAGGAAAACTGGGGTCAGGACGCCGGCCCAAGCAGGAAAGAGATGTCCCTTATTGCACACAGCGCCTGCTCAGTCCTGGACCGAGGTCCACGACGGCAAGTCTACGTCAGGGCCCACCCACAGGAAGACAGACCCACAAGAGGAACAGAAGCAGTCAAACTGTCCTCCTGACCGCCTTACTGTTTCCAGAAAGAAGTTCTGGTTCTAACATGTCAGCACCCCATGCAGACCCAGGCTCTGCGGTGTGGGGGCCTTCTCCCCCTGAGAGTGAAGCCCCCTCCCTCATGTTCCCCAGCACCCTTCCCGCTGACCCACACCCAGCCTGGCATGGGGCCCGGCTGCTCTGCACATCCCCCGCGCTGATGAGGAGAACACCCTGAAATGCAGCTTCTGCCAGCTCCCTGGGCAGCTGCCGGGTCCTGACGTCTCAACCCCTCCCGGCCAACCCACCGCCTCAGTGACTGCATTCGCTATCATCCAGATTTCCGCAAGCTCCCCTGAAGGGCAAGTCACCAACTCAAACAGTGTGTTTACATGCATTGCCTCCTCTCCCCTAGGATTCATGGGAATGAACAGAATGGCCACGGCCCTCGGTGCCAACCAACCAGGGAACGGATGCGACGGCGGGGGCCCAAATGGGCCGTGGGCAGAGCAATGGCCCCACTCAGGGGCTGGCTTGTCCTGCAGGTTTACCTTTGGGGCCGGGGGGCCCTGGAAATCCGATTCCGGGCTGGCCGACAGTGCCCTTCTCTCCGGGGAGGCCTGGCCTTCCTGGGGTTCCAGGAAAGCCTCGGTCACCTGTTGTGAGCAAGACCAATAGTCAGTGAGAGAAAAACCTGTCATTGTTCCAAGCGTAACTCCAGGCAAACGAGAGCATTAAAAGTACCTTGTGGCCCTGAGAAGCCTGGGGATCCCGGAAGTCCTTGTGCTCCAGGGGGACCAGGTAGGGGCACAACTTTTCCTGCTTCACCCTTGGGACCTAGGGGAAGAGCAAAGACACGGTATGAGAGCCTACATCCCATCCTGAGCGAGGACGCAGCGAGCGAGCCCATGTCCTGTCCCCAGCACACTGCCTACCTACAGAGCAGCCCCACCTGCATACCTCCACTTCCTACCTCTACTTTTCTAGAATCTTTCACAGAGAGCTCTTCCTCTTTTCCCCAAAATTTATAGCCAAAAGGACCTAGATACTTGACACACGAATTCCCTAAGAGTCCAAAATAAGAGTCACAAAAAGCTAGAAAATCTGTAACAACAAGAAATGAGATGACCCTGAGTCATTTCTTAATTAGCCTGTCTGGAAGAGTCAAAACACTTTTAGCGTTCTCCCTCAATTTATCAGACAATACCAATTCTACGTTGCTTTGAGGCAGCCCTAAATTACGTTCATCTGATGGGACGTGCTAAGTGGGTGATCAGCACAATCCGTAAGCATGTAGCTGGACAGCCGTGTGCCCTTTGGAGCAGCCCGGGCCCGAGGTGCAGCCCAGCCCCAAGCGCTCATGCCTGGGAGACCCACTGGGGGTCAGGATTTAGCTGCCGGGACAAGACCAAAGGGGTCACCTCCAAGATGTGTGCACAGACTCTCCACACACCCTATACGAATGCAAGACATATGGGGCTTCCCAGGAACGGCCAACACATTCTTTCGCTGCAGACTCTGAGAAATGCCAACCGACTGACCCCAACACATACTTGCTATCAGTTCCACCCTGGGAACAAGCCTTTAATGTCACCAGAGTAAACCGGCTCTGGCAGATCAAAGAAGCCTGCGTTTCTAATCCAGAAGCTGCCTGGGTCTGGATGGCCAAGCAAGTCTACAGAATGCAGACAGCTGACCATTAGCACTGTCAACACCTCCTTCAGGAACCTTCTTCCTTCCCTTCCTGCTAGGATGCATCTGTGTGTGCCCCAGTTGGTCTTTCTGAAGGTAGTTTCTGGCCAAGAAGCGCCTGATTCCTTTTTATGGTTCTGCAAATTTTCAGATCCAAAGAACACTTGAGATGCTGATTTTGGAGTCAGGAGCTATGGGGAAGAGATCACAGGTCCCTTTTCCAAGATGGGCAGGGGGGTGTCTTCCTAGGTCAAACCCAGTATTTCTCTGCCTCCAAAGGAGTCACCAAAGAAACATTTCTGGGATCCTTGCTAAGCCACAAACAATGATCAAGGGAGTCATAACTGGGTGCTATGTAATCATGAGCCATACAACCAACGAGAATGATAGTAAGAAATACAATAGGGCGCGGTGCTTGCACTTCCAACAAAGACAGGCTAACGTGCCCTGTGCAGAAGAGCTTATAAATTTGACACTATCATGTAGTAAGTAAGTAATGGTTCCCGGTGGGATAGGAACTGATAAAACTTGGGCTGGATATATGGCTTGTGACAGAATCGGCGGATCAGTGAGCACAAAGGCCATGCAGTCGCCACCCCCCCATCAACGGTTCCACTGTGTGTGTCTCAGTTTCCCCGCGGTCAACCGTGGCGTGGCTCAGGAGGTCCACGGTAACTGGACGCTGTATATGTGCTCGCGTCATTCACCTCACGTCACCTCACCACGGAGACACTCTGTCACGTCCCCTCGTCACAAGAAGAAGGGTGGGCACAGGACGAGAAGGTATATTGCGAGAGACACACACATCCACACGACGTTCATTACACTGTGTGGTTATAAGTGCTCTATTTTGCTCCTGGTTGTTCTTGGTAATCTCTTCCCGGGCCTCATTTACATTTTAACTTTGTCACAGGTCTGTATGCACGGGAGAAACCTAGCGTATGCGGGGTTCAGTACTGTCCTGGCTGCAGGCTTCCACGGGGGTCCTGGAACGTGTTCCCCCAAGTATGTCATCTAATTCCTCCCTAGCTTGGTCACACAGCTACTTACTATGTGGTTCAAGCTTTACCAGTCACACAACTGTAATCACCCGAAGTCCTTCTGTTCATTTTTAGGATTTCTAGGACATTTCTTAGCCCTGCACTCTTCCTTCCCTCCTCGGTGCCCAAGCCCTTCCTGGCCTCTGCTCTTGCAGCCCGGGGAGGGTAGGGGGCCAGGGAACGACGGGAGTGATCGGTTTCTAGCCTGAAGCATATTCCACGACCTGCACCTGAGAGCCTGCCGTGTGCCAGGCCAGGGGCCACCCCATGACCACTACCCTGATAACACGCAGGGCGCAAAGGGGGAGTGAGCGTGTCCGTGGGAAAGCCTCGTGTCGGCCTCGCACCACGTGCTCTGCCAAACCCCCAGCAGTGCGCACCGGGAGGGCAGGGCCACGCCTATCTGGCTGCCACCACCCCGCCACTGGGCACACAGGCCCAACGGAGACACGGTGCGCAAGTGACCGAAGCCAGCCCCTCACTGAACAGCAACGGTGAGGCAAAGACCACCCGGAATCAGCCCACAGGCACCTGCCCATCCGTGGAGAGGTGAGACTACCCGGCCTGGAATATACAGAAGCCCATGTGGACTGTTCACCAGGGAGACACAGAAAATAGGTAAAGAGAAAAAAAAACAAGCTCATGTTGGTATCCCTTCCACAGAGAAGGCCCACTTGAACTGGAAAGCACTGCATCCTCGTGAGAAGAAAAAGCATCTATCAATTCAGATGCTTTGCAGCCAGATTCTACACATCACTGGGCCCTTCTTACACATGAGGCCACAAGGTACGGTATCGCTACAATAGGGCCCAGGCCAGGCCACCTCCTGTAAGAATGGACACCAGACTCCTGTCCCCACGTCGTGAAGCCCAGTGCTCTGTGCACCTGAGGTCCTCGGGCCTCACCTGGCTGGCCTGGGGATCCAGGGGTCCCCGGAAAACCCGCTTGTCCTTTGTCACCAACAGGGCCAATAGGGCCAAACCCTGGAGGCCCAGGAGGGCCGATGTCACCTCGACTGCCGGGGAATCCAACTCCCCCAGGGGGTCCACGCTCTCCTTTCAATCCTACTGAACCCTGACATGCAAAGAGAAAAGAAACGTTATCAGCAGACATACCAACATGTGTTCATCTCACATCCCTCCACCATCTGCAGTAAATAAGTATCAGAGGTTAACTGACTTATGCTATTTATTGACTTCCCCTTCTACAAAGGTCAACTGGCAGTTAATAAATGACACAGCATTCCTGTCTATGCTGGGCAGGCACCCTCCCTCCCCACACAAGGACACCCTTCACAGACTGAAGTATTTGTATCTGGAACTGTCTTTTCAAGGATAACTTGCAGGCCACTAACTCTAAACTTCACGTCCCATCTGACATGCGAACATCCAACACATAGGCGCCAGAAGATATCCATGCACTGTCCCCCCACTGTTCCCGTCAACAGCATCAACGCCTACGTTTGCAAACTTAAGTCTCCCCAAGGACCACTAAACATCACATGTAACAATCACCACCCAAATGAAAATATGTAGCTACGATGCAAATAGTTCATTTCTTCATTCTTTGCAGATCTGCTTATAAAGTGGGCATTCCAACTCTGGAAATAAACATACCGGGGAGCCTTTGGGGCCAGGCAGACCCGGATGGCCATCTCTCCCAGGAGACCCTGCTCTGCCTGGCATCCCGGGCTGTCCTGGAAAGCCTGGGTCTCCTTTGTCTCCTTTGAGCCGTGCGTCGAAGTAAATCTCGCCAGGCTCTCCCTTGGCTCCTGGCTGGCCCATCAGCCCTGGTGTGCCTTGCGGGCCCTACGAGCAACAAATGGAAGACATCAGTGCACAAAATAGGCCAGCAGCATTGTTACATAGCCAACAATGATACTGAGAAGTCACCTCCTTGAAAAACGGCAGTATGTTCAATCTTATTTTATTTTCTAGAAGCAAGCCAATAGCTCTGTGACAAAGCCATGATCTGACCTCTCACTTCTTGTGTTTCTCTTACAATACCTGAAAAAAAAAAAGCCTTCACTGGGTATTGCAAACAGAGGCCAGGCTAGGGCGGGGGGAATGAGTGTGGCACCAAGCACCCAGCTTGGAGGACAGTCCCCAGAGAACCTGCTTGTTCCTTCCAACTGTTAACGTTCACAGGAACATTCTAGCAAGTGCTAGAAGCTGCTGAGTGTGTGACTTCTGGGGACCAAGAACTAGAGAAAGGGCTTCCAGGTGCAGACGCGTGAAGTGTCTGAGGGCAGAACGGCAACAGCAAGCAGAGAGTCTGGGGAGCGAGCGCCGGCCAGCCCCATCACCACTGTTCTGAGCAGTCAGCAAAAGAGAACGGACTTTCCCAGGAGACACACCCTAGCACATTTTCCAGTTCCTGGAAAGTTAAATCTTCAAGGAACGCCCACACCCACAGATGGTCTCTCCTCTAGCCTGAGAATTGGGGTTCACAAGGTTTTCAAATACTTGTCTCAAGTACTCATTCCCTTAGGCCTGAGAAAGAAATCGCTCAGCCTCCCTGCTGACTTGGCAGGATTGTACTCTTGGACAATTCATTTAATTTGAATTCCCTCTCCCACACTCCCTCTGAAACGGCCCTCGGATGTATGTGAGTCACATGTGACCACACACTTCTGTGTAGGTGTGTAACACAGAGTAAGGAGCTGGAAGACAAGGGACAGACCCAAATTCACACGATCTTTAGATTTTAGCATGGGGACCGTTTATTATGCGCCCACCATGCGTCACGGCCCTCGGCACACCACTCTGGACTCGGAGCCCAGTTGCGCCGGCAAAACACCAGAAGCACCCCCCAGCAGGTGAGGGAGCAGACCCTCCAAGACCTTGGATGGGGGGTCGTGGAAAAGTCATTATTTAGTTCAAAGGTGTTGTGGTCTCTTGTAGCTTTCTCTCTCGAGGTATCATAGCTCCTGTGCATCCTTAAATCCCAGCTAAGCTGCGACTCCTCCGTGAAGCCCTCCCTGACACGTGTCCTGGGTTTCCACAGTGGAGCGAACGGTCCTCATTACAGAAACTCTCCTCCCTGCGCACCTTTCTCTCCTCCAGTCTTTGGGGATGTTGAGGGCAGGCCTAAGGCTTTCTAACTTTGTGACCTGAACGTCTGCAGCTAGGGAGGTATTGCAGGAAGGAGAAGTTGACCAGGCAATATTCACCCATAAAAAATAAACCCCAATGTAAGAAATTACAACCAGTGTGTATTTTTCTCAACCTGGAAGGATCAGTGTTACTTTACGGTGATTATTCACAGACTAGAAATACAGTTTTCCAGGATGGCGAGCACACGGTGAGGAAATACCACTCTTTATCTTGATAATGGTGACCTTACCGGCTAGGCTATCGTTCAAGGAAGAAATCTAGATATTTTTTTTGAAAGGTGACATCTTGACCCTAGGACACCTCCTGTGGCTTCTCTGCCACAGAACGTCCTAATCTTCAGCGATTCAAAGGTCTTTGGATCCACATTTCTTGACATAAACGAGGAGGAATCAAACGCTGCCTTGAACACCTCGCCTTGGCTCCATAAATTGGAGGAGATCCAACGACTATATGGTCTGCTTCTAACAAGCGCAGCCACCGCGGGGTGTCACAGCTCCTTTCAACTGACCGTCCCGATGGCCCCGAAACCCACCCAGGTCCCCGTGTGGAGCCAGCCTCTTGTGCCGTTCCCTCTTTCCCAAAATCCAACCCTCGGCCTTCAAAAGGACATGTCACAGAAACGCTATCCAAATCAAACAGGAAATCAGAGCATTTCATCTCTTTTCATCCTCATCTACTTTCCAGGATGCTCCGGGGTTCGCGGGCACCTCATGCAGCCCCAGCCTCACTCGAAGTGAGAGAGCCCCACCTGTGAGCCAGTTAAACTGTGGAGCTATGGGACAGCCTCAAATATAAGAGAAATTACTACCTGCTCAATTAAATTATTTACCCAGAAAACTGTTTTTACAAACTTGGCCGTCTGCAGAGAGAAAGGAGCTCCTGATGGGGAAGGCAGGGGATTAGAAGTTTTGTCGTGCACTGGCTTTATTTTCTTCTTCATCAGGACTTGTCCTCAACTGTCCTTCTCCCTCCGTTCTCTTTTCCCATTTTTATTAGATTTGGGGCTGGGGGGCTGGTGTCTGGATGGGATGTCAGGCAGAGTCGAGGCAGGAAGTTTCCAGGAAGGCCAAGTAGATAAAGACCATGTCCAGAGGTTAAAAGCATCCTCTGCTGCTTCTTCAAAGCGCTTCTGGCTTTGATCCCCACCAGAGTCAGGGCTTCCCAGTTATGTGAACTTCTCATTTATTTAGAAATATTTTAAACAATTGCAACTTGTAACTTAGCTCCCCAGGCACCAGGGAAGTTCTGGAAGCAGAATCCCGAGATCTAACTTCAAAGGAGGAAGCGATTGCTCAATCCCAGCTGCTTCAGTGCCATTTCAACTCACTTCTGCCCTGACCCGCTTTTATAGAAGCTGCCAGTAATATTTTTAAACATCGCAAATGTTAAAGAGCTACATCAAAAAGGAATAAAATGCTAAAGATTTTATTTTCATCGTGTGACAGAAGAAAAAAGAAAAGCAAAAGGGAAAGCAGTAATGAAAGAAAGTGTGGAAAGTGGCTGACGCTTACAGAGCTCAGAAGAACAAAGAAAATACGAGAACCAGGCCCTGAGGTTTACGCGCTTTAGAAACAGAGCTGATTACGTGCAATAAAATGCCCTTCAATGCTCGGGATTACAACTATTCTCCTCTATTCAATGGCTTCTTTTTTAAACAAACTAGGAAAACTGGGGAGCTGATTTTCATTTAACTGTAAGGTTTCACGTCGATCCGAGATTACTTCATTTATAAATTTAGAAAAGCATCTTCACAATAGATATTGGTGGATAGGAATTTTCAAAACACGTCTCTGTGAGAGAATAAACAAGTGTGGAATTCCTCAAAGGCGACAGGCCGGTGATCCTCTATTTCTCCACAAGAATACTGGCTCTGAACTTACTACATTGTTTTTAAGTAACGGGTGTAACTGTTTGCAGATGGCTCCTGGTGGCACCATTTGTTTCAAGAGCCCCCGAGACCCTGTGGGAAGGTGACACACAGCATCCGGCTGCACCTGGACACAGGTACGTGGCACTTGAATTCTGACCAGGTGAGGAGAGAGGCAGGTGAGATGCAGATTCTGGACTCGACAGTCCTGCTCATCGTCAGGCGAAGGACACGGGGAGTAATTCTAGACTGCTCGACAAAGCCACACTTGACCAGCACCCAAATCATACAGCAAAGGCTGTGTTTGCAAATGCGACAATAGACACCTTTGTTAGTTGGCTTGGAGGCAACGTCTAATAGGTACGCAAACTCAGGTTTACTTACAGGCAATCCTTCCAGACCATCTCTGCCGGGTAAGCCTCTGTCGCCCTTCGGCCCTGGCTGTCCTGGGAAACCTTTCAGAAGACAAGGGAGATGCAGCACATTACTGCCTGAGACACATCCTCAAAACCCCAAAACTTTCGTTCTCCAGATTCAAGAGCACAGATATCTTGACATAAGTGGACGGTGTCTGAAGAATCTCCACAGAGTAGTAACAGGAATGGTCACAGTGGGCTCCAGAAGGGAAGCAGTGACCCCAAATTCGGACAAGGACCACTGAAGCAGCTGGTGACAAGAGCCCCCCCAACCCCAAGCCCCAGGACCACTTCCGCCAGAAACATGCCCTTCACTTCGGTTGAGGGAAAGAAGGTTGTGGAGCTGAGGGAACCGTAGGCTGTTGACCTTTTGGTGCCAAATTTTAGATCAGCTTGATGATTTTCCACAAAGTGGACAAACCCCGGAAGTCTGACTTAAAATCTCATTATCAGGCTTTGGTTTGAATGCAGAAACTGAGGTCTCTCATGGCGCGAGATGCGTTTCCCTGTGAAGGCTCCAACCGATGGAAGAAAATTCAGGCCTGGTCCCTTTCACGTCTGGGGTCTTACCTATTTCTCCTGGGGGGCCCTGCGGCCCAGGGGGCCCACGAAGTCCTTCTGTGTCACAGATGAGGCAGCTGTCTCCTTTCTGACCTACAAAGGGAACACGGGGGTACGTATGCACACGTGAACTACTCCTGCACGCTCCACTCTGGCCAGACCCATTGCTGGGAACAGACGCAGGACCCACGCAGACAGCCCAAGTCCCTGAAGTGCGGGCAAGGCAGAACAGGAGCCCACCCATGGGATGGGGACAGTGCAAGTTGGCTGGTGGCCAGCTGAGCTCTGGGCCCCATGGGATTCGCTCATGGGGAGACGCACCGCCGACCGAGGGCTGGGCGGGCTGGTGGGGCTACGGCAGGAGGATGGAGGTCTCAGCACAGAGAAGCTCCTGACCCCGTCGTAACGTGGGACAGCCCAGCTCAGGAAGTACTAAGCAGCTGGTAACTAGAGAGAGTCACTGACACTGAGTGCCCCCTGGCACTCTGGGATGACTTCTAAGACCGTATCCATCGGGACCTCCGAAATCTAAAATTCTAAGGTGTTAGCTGCAACTGTTTTCATGCAGCATTTGTGTTGTAGACCTTGGAAGAGGAAGAGGCTTTGCAATCCAAAGCCAGCCATGGTGCCCAACGGGGTTGGTTTTGGGGGCAGACTCCTAGTCGCTCTACTCTCCGGCTGTTAAGAGACACACCATCATTGGACTGTCCAAGGGGTAGGACACGCTCAGACAGGACTGCGGACACGGTGAGAACCCACTGCGGGCACGACAGTGAAGAGAGGACCATGCGTCCTGGGCTGGGGTTACAGCAGATGCTGGAGATCAGTAACAATAATGCTGAGAGCCGGGGGGGGGCAGTCCCAGGGCAGCTGATGTGCTCACACGGATTGTGGGAACAGGGCCTGGAGGGGTGGTGAGCGTTGCAGGCACACGACGGTGACTCGGCTCAAAAGAAAGATATTTGCTCTTTGAGAAGGGCACTCTCAAACTCTGAACCGAAAGATCACGCTAAGGTATCAGTCTGAGGGTTTAATCTGCTGACCATGTAGACAGTGTCAGGGCCATGGCCCCCTGTTGCCTCCCAGGTGGCATCTCATGCTCTCTCCCCCCAAGCCCCCCCCCCCGGAAGCCCCACGTCGGGACACCCCGGCAGAGCTTCACGTGGGCAGCCACATGCTAGGAATGGACTTGGATAAGAGTTCCAAATACAGGAAGAACGTGCTCACACCCACCCACATGCAGAAACAGATCCCATCCAAGCATAATCATTTTTTAAAACATCAGCATCTCTTACCTTTTTCTCCAACCTCGCCCGTGAGCCCTGGCTGCCCCGGAATTCCAGGGGGACCCTGATCCCCAGGCGGTCCAGGCTGACATTCCACAATTCCATCTGAAATGGATTTTTAAAAGTTACAGGATCATTCCCACCACCCGAAGAGAGGATTTGCATCCCCTCTTACTCAATCTCTACCGTAATACCAAACTGCTTTTAGGCTATTGTAAGAGCTGGAAACCCCGCTTTAGCTTCCTTCAAAACAATCCTAGAATGTTAACTCGAAAACAGGACCCACACAGCACCCAACTGATCACTCACCACAAGCTTTCACTGATAAAATATCCATTTGATGATCCTAAAGCACATTTCAGTTCATTAGTCCTGTCCTGTACCTTACTTCCTTTCTACCTTGCAAAGTACATACCATCGTCCTTATTTTACACATGAAAAAACTAGGCCGGGGGCACCTGGGTGGCTCAGTCTGTTGGGCATCTGCCTTCTGCTCAGGTCATGATCTCAGGGTCCTGGGCTCGAATCCAGCATCGGGCTCCCTGCTCAGCAGGAAGCCTGCTTCTCCCTCTCCCTCTGACCCCCCCCCCCCCCCCCCCCCCGTTCATGTTCTCGCTCGCTCTCTCTCTCAAATGAATAAATAAAAAATCTTTAAAAAAAAAGAAAAAAGAAAATTCACACTGATCCTTTCTCCCAGTGAAGCTTCAAACCTGGAAATCCACTGTCCCCCCGCCCCCCCCAGTCCACATCTGCCCTCTGCATGGAGCCTCATCCATGAGAACTCCTTTTCTTAATGATGTGTCTGAATTCTAGCAAATAAACGGCCTGGAACCCGCTGCATGTGGACCCCCTTAGGTCAGCCCCACAGAAGACTAGGGTTTCAGGCGCTCTCGGGACACACGCTGCTAGTGACACGGCAGGGCCTGCCTTGAAAACCTGAACGTATTCCCACTGGGATGACCTTGTCTGAAATTGTCTTACATTCTGCGCTGGTATCACTTTGGGATCACAGGACCCCCTTAACTGAATCAAGAGTTTAATGTTCTGTGCGCAGCTTTGAGAGTGGGCTGACGAGAGACCCACCGCGCAAAATACCCCTCTATGTGAGGTCATCCGTTCGGTCACCACACAGACTGTCCCCTGCAGGCCCTTTCTTCTTAGTGCGTGTGTGTGTCTTAGTACTAGTTTGTGTCTCTAGAGGAACAAGAACGTGTTCTGTTTTCCGGAAGAACCACACGATTCAACGGCCTTGCTTTTTCCCTTTGACGCCGGGAGACTCAGGCCTGCTTAACATAGTTCTTACTCCTTCAACCAGTTTTACTGTTTGATTTTTACTATTCCTTTCTGCAGCATGACTAATTTTGCAAAGATACCTCAGTGGGATATGAATGACTCACCAATCCTCGGACACCCGGTCTTTTGTTACCACTTGAACTCTGAGTGCCCTCCCTGCGCCCCGCAGCTCTGGCCTGACACCTGTCCTACACGAGACGCCACATGCCATGGTCCCCAAGAGTACTTACTCGTGTGGCCTGGCTGTCCAGGGGGCCCGGGAAGCCCAGGGGGGCCCGGTTGCCCATCTCTTCCACTTGGTCCTGGCAAAGAGGTGCCTGGAAACCCTTGGTCACCTTTCTCGCCTCTTTCACCAGGAAAGCCAGGAGCACCCGCCTGCCCTGGTACCGGGAAGCCTGAAACCAGAACAAAATCTCATGTATGTCACCACAGTGCAAGGTCAACGTCCACAGCACAGATGAACTTTCTTAACTCTGTTCAAGGTAAAATGACTAGTGACCATCCCTGGAAAGGGAACTGTTCTACAGAAGTAAAAACAGACTGAACTATCGGGCTTCTTACCCCGTAAGTGTTGGCAGCCAAATGCCCCCTACAACTTAACATTACGGAGAAGGGACTCACTACCCAGACATGAAAAAATCGGTGCATTTCTTTTGCTGCAAACAGTATTCCCACCGCATGAATGAAAAGGCCACTGAGGGTACTGTGGGTCGATCTCATTTCCACTTAGAGGATAAGGGCATAAAAATGTCACCCACCAAAGAAAAGTGGACACAAGGCCCAGGGGACAGGAACTGGGCTGGCAATCGAAATTGAACAGCCAAGAAGTAAAGTTACAGACAAAAATGATGTTATGGGAGGAGCGTGAAGTTAGGTCTGAACACAGAAAGCCAAGCTGGGGGATAAGACAGCAGGGCCCCCGTGCTGGGCAGGTGCAGAGAAGAGCTCCCACTCATGCCGGGAGGAGCGCCAGCCTGGGGCTGCTCTTGGGGTCTCTCCTCCCAGCCCCGGCCACCAGAAGCGGGACGTGTCCACAGCCTCGAACAGAGCAGAGCGCAGAGGACAGAGAGCATCCAGGAAGATGGCCAATCCCAGAGTCGGAGCTGCAGTCGTAGGAGAAGGAATGCTACCCCACTAAACCCCACATGCACTCGTCAGCACCAGCAGGACTGAAGGCAGCCCCTGGGGGCTGGGGTTTAGACCCCACGAGGGGAGGAGAAGCAGCACCCAGCTCGGCCCCAGAAGGGGACCCCATGGCTCACAGAGTGCAGCGCTCACTGGGCCAGCGGCCGGACTTCAACCAGGGGAGAGCAGATAAGGCCAGAGCAGTTTCACAGATGTCTATCTATAATCACTGTAAGTTAAGAGGTGATCTGGCAGATAAAAGACATTAGAAGTAAATGCGGCGACACCAAGGGGAGACACGGAGTGATGTGTCCACTAGGATGGCTGGAAGGTCAGCATTTTCATAACCGCAGAGAAGAAAGTGGACGAAAACAGAGAAGGGCGATTTTAAAGCTAGATCCCCAAGCTTTAGAAGGAAGGCAAGCAATGAGGGGCCCGAGCCCGGGGTTGGAGCAAGTCCTCAACGCAGGATGGCGTGGGGAATAGTCTGTTCCAGCAAAAAGGAACGAGCCCTGGGAGAAATTACAGCTGAAGAGCTGTCAGAAAGGGAAAGGGAAATAATGAAAAAGAATAAAACACGAAAATAAATTAAAAACATACAAAACCAAGAATGTAAGGATGCGGGCACTCGGCTGTGGTGTGGATTCTAGGTCACATGCAGGTTTCCCTCCCAGCTTTTCTGATCCGCTCCAGGGCCTGGGGGAGCACATGCACACGCACACACAGATGTTTGCGCACACGCACACAAGCGTTTTTACACAAACATCTGCACATGCACACACAAGCATCTGCACACACAGACATGCAGGTGTGTGCACACATTTGCACACACATACAGGTGTGTGCACGCACAAGCATCTGCACACGCAGACATGCAGGTGTGTGCACACCAACACTTGCACATGCAAACATACAGGTGTGTGCACACAAACATTTGCACACGCATACAGCTGTGTGCACACACAAGCACCTACACACGCAGACATACAGGTGTGTGCACACATCTGCACACACAGACATGCAGGTATGTGCACACCAACACTTGCACACGCATACAGGTGTGTGCACACACAAGCACCTACACACAGACATACAGGTTGTGCACACAGACATTTGCACATGCAGACATACAGATGTGTGCACACACAGGAATTCCACTACTAAGCAGCAGGAATGATACAATCACACACTAAGTACAAGCGAGCCACATGTGATCTCATGGAGAAGCTAGATCAGAGATGATTAGATCATTAGGGGGTTTCAGCTAAGTCTGGTCCCAAGGGAGAAACAAAGTCTCCCTGGAGACGGGGAGTGTGGGCACTGATAGTGAGGGGCCTGTGGGACACTGGGGACCTGCACCCTTGGTGGGGGGGGGCAAGGAGACTGGGGGGTAGGTCTGAGCCAGGGAGAGAAGGTAGGACTTGAGGAGAGACGTGAGAACCCCCCAGGAACACACATAATCCCATGGCCACCTGTGACTTCCAAAGTAAACAACAACAGCTGTGAACACACCTTGCTGTCATTACTAGAAAAACATGCAACAGAATTGGCAGCCATTTCCTGTGGATCACTAACGTTCAAGAAAAACACACTTGGGTTACGAACCACATAGACGTTGTACGACTGTTCCAACACAATCAGCCCAGCATGCTCACCTGGAGGACCTGGCTGGCCTTGTAATCCTGGGAACCCTTAAAAGAGAAGGGAGAGTCAGACAAACCAAGCCTGTGTGTCTGTCCCCACAAGGCCCTGGGTCAGCGGGGTGAGGGAAGGGCACTGGTGGAAACGCAGCGCCCTGGCCCTACAGAGCTGGACAGAGATGGGCTCTAGGAGCCCCAGTGCCAGGATGGAAGACAGACATGAGTCTGAGACAGGCCTTAGTCACCACGTGGTCCTACAAGGCCTGTTGGTGTTACCAAACCGTGAGAGTGCAGGTGGAAAGTGGAAGAAAGGTAAAGGATAAGAGGACAGAAGGAAGGCGGGAGGAGGAGTGGGGAGGGAAGAGGAGGAAGGGAGGAGGGAGGGAAGAGAGAAGAGGAGGGGGAAAGACGAGGGAGGAAGGAGAGGGGAGAGGGAGGGGGAAGGAGAGGGGAGGGAGGGAGGAGGAAAGAGGGGAGAGAGAAGGAGGAGAAGGTAGGGGGGTGGAAAGAAGGGGGAAGAGGAGAAAGGAGAAAACAGAACGTACCTTTGGGGCCTGGCTCTCCTCTCAACCCTGGGGCGCCCGGGTACCCCCGCTCTCCTTTCTCTCCGGAGGGTCCTGGGCCGATGGCCTGAATTACAGAAGAGAAGATCACGGCGGTGCAGGAGAGTGGCTGGGCTGTACGTTATAGCAGTGCAGACGAAGAAACTAACACCTCTCCAAATCATCTCAAGAAAGGTGAGAGTAAAGAAAGGGTAGTGGGGGCGTGGGGGGGGGGTCATGAGAGCACAGAAAACGGACCCCCCCGCTCCCCCCCCCCAGAGCACTCTGCTGCAATTGTGCTTCCTCCTGTCATAACTGGCCTGCAGCAGTTCTACCCGGGAAGTGAAGCTAGAAAAATATTAGTTCTGAGGTTTCGGTTTGGAATTTCTAACTCCAGACAAGCCATAAAATGAATAGTCTACTTTAAAGGGTACTGTCACAACACCCTTACATTTCCCCAGGCGATAAGTTAACAGGAACGTGCAAATTTTTCACTGGAAGAGGTTTTCTGTTGTGTTGGGTTGTTTTTTTTTTTTTTAATGGTCCAAAGTGGGGGACTTCCTCAAGGATGTAGGGATACAGGCCAAGAAGAACACACTACAAAGGAGTGAACTAGGTGAGCACAACTCTAAATCACAGAAATTTAAGGAAAATGACAAAATCAAATATTGCAGATTGCCCTTAAAACAGAGTTCCTTTGTAGCAATTAACAGATGTTATTAAAATCTGCTGATGCACTTATGATACAAACAGGCCACTCGACCGTGGCTGCTAGGTCACAGATACGGAAAGGGGGTCCTGAGTCTGCAGGAAGGAGGTTCTGAGCTTCCCCGCAGCCAGCCAGGTCCTGGAAGCGCACCCCAAGGAGGAATCATTCACGGCTGCACCCCCACGGGGTGCAGGCACGAACCACCACCGGGCACACGCCATGGGCAGCCGTGCTAAGCACCTCAGCCAACGAAACAACAGTAACCTTTCCACTGTTCCAAAGAAGATTCGGGACAAAATGGGTCAACCAGCTCCAGCACCCCTCTCTGACAGGACACCGAAGAGGGCCGTTCCAAGATAACTTGCAAACGTGAAGAAGGTTCATTTTTACAAAGGAAAAAAAAAACACTGCAAACACCGATTGCCCCCACATGTAAAAATACGCACAGGGGCGTATGGGTATTAACATAAGAATAAAAAAAATAAAATAAAACTAAAAAAATTTTTCAAAAAAAAAAAAAATACGCACAGGGGCAAGTAAAATGCTATTTGCAGACATAAAACCTGTTTTGCTAGGGAAAGTCAAATTATGGATGATCGGTTTCTTTTAACATTTTCCTTAATGGACCATTAAAAAAAAAAAAGTTTCAAAATGTTTTGCTCCTACTGTTATCCAAGAGCACGTCTTTTCATTGTCAGTGGTCGAGGAAATGCAGAAATTATCGAAATATAATAAACGCCACACAATACTGAATATAAGTTTTTGATTTTAAATAACATGCACCCTCTATACACACAAATGTCATTCTAGGAACACTGTGGGGCACGTGGCCCCAGCCCCCAACCAACTACCAAACAGCACTTTTACTCACAATTCCAGGTGGGCCTGGAGGACCTGCTTCACCTTTGTCTCCCTACAAAAGAAGAAATACTTGTATTTTTCGACTAGACAGATTGTCTTGCAGAAAGCATGGTTCAACTTCCTGTCCCAGAAAAATAAAGACTGTGCCCACTTCCACTAAAGTTATTTTCCTCTCCTAAGTAGCCCTCACTGTGAGGGGCTGAAAGTGCTCTGTACCTATTAAACCAAAAATGAATGCACGTCCATCTGCTTTCTATAAGCGTGATACACGGAAACAAAGATTTCTGCAAATCGTTAACGGAGTCTAATGGCTCACATGACAAAGCCGCCCACAAGGTCTGCTATGTTTGATGGCATGCTCCCTCGGGCAACGCAAACAGAATCACTGCTAAGCTGAATTAGCATCTGGTATTTTTTCAATAAAATGAAAGTAAATGGAATGAAAGCTTTTGATTTCTAAATATATTTTCTTAAAGAAATCATTTCACTAGAGGTTTTTATGTGTAAGGTTGTCTAAACCTGTAATAAAAGGATATTCATGGTTTCATCTTTCCCCCTAAAATCCAGCATTACATGGGGTAGATAAATTCTAACACTTTGAGGCTTAATTTCATTCGTATTAGAAGAAAAACCCAAAGGAATTTATCCTGTTATGTCTAAGGTTTTATATAAGCCATCAAAATAATAACCTTTAAAAGTCCTAAGATCTGCACATATTCCATGGATGCAGTTTCTCCCCTTTAAATAAACCAAAGCAATAAACTTAGCAGCAAACCAGCATTAGATGTTTTGATTTTTCTGATGTGATTATGAGACTTTAGAAATATCTGTGGGACTTAAAAAATACTTAGCTAATATATCCTAAACATATTTACCTTTTAAAATCTACAAGATGTGACTTTCTCAATAAAGGTACAGTTATCAGTAAAGGATCTTTCCCCTCCTCCCTCGCTTTCGTGAACAAGCTCCGAGGGCCCCTCCCTAGTTTATGAGTCGTTGCTGGAGATGCTATTCCAAAGCTGTTTATGTTCGCAGAGATTTACGTTACCTAGTCTTGTATCAATGAGTCTTTTCTGCCTATCACATTGACAAATGTTTTATAAAGTTTGATAACAAGCAGTGGCCCAAAAAAAAGGGCACCGGGACAGAAGGATGTTCTTTTCTAGGGGCAATTTGGCAGCATAAGGTGAAAAT